CCGCTACTGCTGCTTCTACTGCCATTGTAGTATTATTATTACAACTACGACTACTGCTGCTGCTGCTGCTGCTGCTGCTGCTGCTGCTGCTGCTGCTGCTACTGCTACTGCTATTACCACCGCCACCACCACGACGACGACTACTACTACCGCTACTACACTGGCAGAAGTAAACGCACTGGCAACACCAGCACTAGCAACAACAGCAACAAGAAACAACGACATCGGCAGCACAAGATACAGCGATTGCGTGCACCATCTTTCAAGTCGTTCAGTCCTGTAGTATGGTCAGGAGTACCGGTGCGAATGGGACTGGTTAGGCGCAACAGAAAGAGCATGTAATAACGTCTGCAACAGCGACATGGGTTGGGAGTATAGCACGGATAGCCATCAGGTTCTCGCTACGTAAAGCTGTTTTCCTGCACTGGGTATCACAGTGGGAATCAGATACAGACCCTTTTCGGCAGCCAGAAGCAACTGTATTGGGAGGCTCCTGATGTACCGACTGCGACCCTAGACTGGGCCTGCCTGGGACGCCTTGCCTGCGAACTTCATGCGCAGCATGATGGCAAAAAGGGATGGACGGAAGAAGGCGACGAAGCTAAAGTGCCATTGGGCGCACGTACTACAGAAAGCACGGTGTTGTGCTTCATGATGCAGGAGTTCATGTTGATAGTAATGATTGGTGAATAAAGGCGGAGAACATCATGATGATTGTCGTGTAGATGACAGCAAGAACAGATGGGGCACCCACAGTCTGATTATGATTACGCATAGCAATAAGACATGGTGTCCTTTCATCTGCATCTGCTAGAAGAAGAAGCCCTGTTCACCTCAAGTCGTCAAAAGTCGGCGTTCCGAGATTGTGTTTCTGCGGAAGGGCTCCAGCCAGAGACAGTCAAGAGCTCATGGAGGTTGATGTTACCATAACGACACAGCTACTGAGAATGAAGGTCACTCTTCCGATTCAGCCGTGTTGTTTGTTGGATTTGTTTCCCGTCCACCGTCATCAGAAGCATGGGTGGAGCAATCAACACTTTGGCCTTTCCGGCCCCGAACTTGCCGCGCCAATTCTATGAGGACCTGCCACTTGGGTTCCCTCGAAATTGCAACTGCAGAAGTCCTTGCGGCAGGATGAGCTAAAGAGGCGCCCGGACCTGGTCTGGTTGGAAACAGTTAACAAGGTGCCTGGGCCAGCTGCGCGCTCTCACAAGCAAGCGAGCTCGTAGACCAGAAGCTGGGAGGAGCGGATTCCGGCCTGCCACGTCCGGGGAGGTTCTTCCGGCAAGCAGGGGCCTCGTGGACTCCTGGTGGCCGTTTTGCAATGACCCGAGTAAGAGCGGCTGCTGTTGTTCAGGACTCTGCTTTACAGCCATGGCAATGCGGAGGCAGCTGCATCTTGCTACTCTTGCCGTCAGCGTCCCATAGACTCCATAGATGCAGGACCTCGGGCTTCACCTAGAATACATTGATTCCCTGGCTCACTTCACCGGTGCGGATGTCTTCAGCTATGAGTACGTGGGCTATTCCCTCTCCAAGCTTCAAGGCTGCCAGCCCTCGGAGGCAGCCTTGCAAGACTTAAAGGGTTTAGTTTAGGGGTTTCAGTTCAGGGTTTAATAGGGCTCATAGGCTTTGGGGTGAGGGGTTTTAGTTCATGCTCCCCTTCTTTTCCACCTGCATCTCCAGGCAGCCTGCCTACGAAGCATCGATGCTGCATGGCGTTACTTGGTCGATACGCAAAAAATACCTCCGCAGCAGGCTGGGTCTGCTGTTTCAGTGTTGAAGCCGAAAGCTAGAACAATGTAGTACAGGGGGCAGACATAGCGTGTGCTGGTATGTTGGACTACCTTAAGCCCCAAAAGTATGTAGAATAGTAGCCTTTTGGAGGTTTTGGGGCATTATCTTACCAACTTTTGGGGGTTTAGGTATTATCTAGTGTAGGATCAGCGAGTGCTGGCCTGCAGATTATCATCTTCGGAAGATCCATTGGTTCCGGCCCGTCTGTGGACCTCGCGTGCGCTTCTTTGCCTTGTGCTGCACTGTCTCGTTTTTCAGTTGTTTCCCTTGGGCGGCCAAGACTCTCAGGTCTCGCAAAGAAGTGGAAGGCTCACAACACTCGCCACTGAACGTGGCTGGCGTGGGCGGCTAAGGATTTCGCACACGCATGCCAGCCAGCCAGCCATCCACCAACCACATACCTGACAAGCATGCCAAGGTCGTTCTACAGTCTCCTTTGGAAAGTGGAGCAAGAGCCGTGCTTGGACACGTCACCTCTTTTCTAGGCTACCACCTGGACATATTCAGGAGCGGTTCTCGTGCCAACAGTATGTGCGCTGTTGCCTGGCCGAAGTGACGGTCTAGTGCCGTCAGGAATTATGAGAAGATAGACAAGATCACCTCACCCGTTGCAATCATGCCAGTGCCTGAGCCAAGCTGTCTCCGGCATGGGGCTTTCGTCAGAAGTCTAATGATGCCTTATCATCGAAATAGTTGAACGCTGCTGGCATGCTGACTTGTGGCTTTGATCTGTTCTTAAACTTCTACGCCGATCGTTACTGCTATTCCTCCTGCAGCTGCTACTACAGCTCCTGGTCCTCCTGGTATAGTTCCAACTCCTGATCCTGCTGCTGCTGCTGCTGCTGCAGTTACAGCTACGGCTGCTGCTGCTGGTGCTGCGGCTGCTACTGCTGCCACTTCTACTGCTACTGCTACCGCTACCACTATCTACCACTATCGCTACTGGTACTGCTGTTACTACTATTACAACAACAACTACTACCACTACTACGACGACGACGACTACCACCACCACCACCACCACGACGACGACGACGACGACTACTACAACAACTACAACAACAACTACAACAACAACAACAACAACAACTACTACTACTACTACTACTACTACTACTCTTACGACGACG